AGTGACGTCATACCAGCTGTATAAGAATGACACTGCTATGGTGTTTGCTAGGCACAGGACCAGTAAGAGGTCCGTTTATTTGCAGTGTGGCGTTTCAACTGGTTGGAGAAAGAAATCGAAAATCTAGAGTTATTACCAGAGTTAGCCGTTCTGTTTGTTGTTTAGGTTTCTTTTCTTTTTTTTTTTCTTTTCTTTTTTTTTTTTTTAATAGTGCCTCCATCCATACAACCAATCAACAATAAGGAGGTGATTGAAGGTGACAATGTGACTCTGATGTGTAAGGTATCTGGAATGCCCTCACCAATAGTGTCTTGCATGAAACCTAATGGTCATCGTCATAGTAGATATATGTTGGAGCTTGTGAACATCAGCAGGGATGAAGCTGGTGAATACAAATGTGAAGCCAGTAATGAGTGTGATAATGTAACAGAGATGGCAGCCATTGATGTGCAGTGTAAGTTTGTTGATGTTGACTGCATTTATCGTCCTTTCTTTGAACTTGAGATCTTTGAGTGGGGAACCTCTACCTTAACGCTTCCAAAATCCGACAGTATTTTGCCAGAATTTGAAATGAAGTAAAAATCCTTACATTTTTTAATGACTTTTTCATGATTTGTTCCTCTTAAAGACGAACCAACAATTACAGACATTTCTGGTGGGCAGACCATAAACGAAGGTGACGTAGTGAGTTTGTTCTGTATGGCAGAAGGTAATCCAGCACCAACTATAACTTGAACAAAAGTCGCCGATAGCAGTCCAGTCAACTTCCCTTTGATCATCCGTGGCAGTCAGGACGAAGGACTGTACAGATGTACTGCTGAGAATGGTGTTGGAAGCCCTGTTACTAAGGATGTCAGCATAAAATGTAGCTGATTTGATGTCAGCATAACAGTACATCGTAAGTGAATTATTTATGGCTGTTATGATTGTATTTTGTTTGCTCACAACATTGACCTACAATAGGTGTACAATCCACAAAGTTCTTGTGTTTGTTTGTTCAGACTGATACCTTCTATTAGTGTCGAAAGCAATCTGAGATTTATTTGGTTTCACTGGACTCAGCTCTCAGATTGATCCAGAAAAATCGTGCCCTCCTATCCACCAATCAGATGTAAAACTAAAACAATTGCGACTTGGTCACGCCTCAGGAAGTCTCCTTGTTTTCGCTGTGTGCTCTGATCTGCTAACGATAATGCTAACCTTTTTATTGGTCGCTGCGATTATTGTTGTGTTGGGTTTTTCGACACTAAATTGGAAACTACTCTTAAGTAACCAAGTCGCCAAGTCCTTTGATGCTTGTTACGAGGTTCGCTTAATTTGTGGCGTGGAGATTTGAACTGTTGTTGTTAATGCATATACATGCATGGTTTTTGGTAGGGTTCTGGTAAATGTCAATTTTTCATGTATTTGTGTCGGTACGTTTATGTTGCGAAATTGTGTTAAAAAGTCGTCACCACTTAGCCAGTCCACAAATGCAAATCCGAAGCTTATCTAAAGAGTAAACCCTCACTTGTACAGTGATAAGCACAGGTAGGATTTTATTCAAAGATTTCCTAAGAATGGAGCTTTAAAATATTATGAGAAATAGTCTAATAATGTCTTTTCTTCGTGCATATCAAAAGTTTGAAAATTTTAGCCAGTAAATTTTTGCTTTTGCAATGAAAAACACCTACAGAACTTTTACTTATCCAATAGTGTCGTGTGACTGTTTCTGCTTGTAGGAAACCCTTGCCTTGAGGAATGTACGAAGCGACGGAATTGCAGAGAATTCGGAAAATACCTTCGCCTATGTCCAAAAAGGAAAATAGGACAAGATTGCAAAGAATAGGGTAAGTTGAGCAAAAGATAGACGATGGCGGACGAAGAGTTTTGACTAATTGGTTAACGAGAAGTCGATAATTAAGCCTCGAGGATGCGAAGGAGGAGGGAAACTATGTTTAGCGGTGCTGCAAGTCTGAAAAAAATGCATTGTTAAAGTCAGTGGTCTTACAGCCCCTGATGGAGAGATAGCTTCTAAGAGTTCCCAACGATAATTTATCTAATTGTCATCCTGGTGTACGTCGGCTTTTTCATGGAGTTACTGTTACTTCTACTCGTTGGTGTTTGGATGAGAATGCCCAAAATATTCTAAGAAGTTCAGTTCGTAATGACAACGATATAGGTCAGAAATATATTGAGTACAAAAAACCATCTGTAACTGAAATATCTTTTGTTTTATTTTTTGATCCAATGAATTTAGCACCTGTACCCCCTCTATTATTTTTACTGTCGCTATATAGCTTAAGCTTATTTAGAAGTTGAAAATGTAACTATTTCGTGATTTTTAACTGTCATTCTTTACAGGTGGTCTTTGTGAGGGATCATGCACTGCTGGAAAATCGTGTCGTGAGTTTGGTACATACATCTGTTCCTGCCCTCCGGGAAAGAAAGGGACAAACTGTCTGGAAACAGGTCGGAACAACTTGTAAATTTGTAGAAAAAAAAATTATTTTCCATTACATTCGATACATGTTAAGCACACATTTTAAAGTGCATTCTTTACTCTAGCCAAAATATTCGTTTTACGGGCTACTGTGCTCATCTATTTATAGATACCTCCAATTAAGATTATCGTTTTAGCAAATTGTGTACACCTAATACATACCACATACACATAGAAAAATAGAATGTTCACATAAACTTTATGGTGGCCCATAATGAATAACTTGTTAACTCTCCAAAGCATAAATATGCATTTAGCCTTGCGCGCACATATTTATATTTTGTGAATTTGGCTATTTGCGACTTCATGCTCAGTTTAAACCCAAATTTCTCTTCTTTTCATACTTCTCTTGCTCCTATTAGAGGAACCCAGGAAAAATTTCATTGTGGTACTTAGGATCAAGTGAGATTTCAAACCAGTATACGAGAACTTGGAAAATCCAGAGACAAAAACGCTTCTCCAGGAGATTGATAAAACTGTAAGTGCTTTGGTAATTTCATTACGATGACGATAACGTAATATCTTAAAAATTTAAGAAAAGCAAGAGTTATCCGGGGAGATAGCAACACATCAAAGCTTCTATATGGCTTCGCAACTTGTGAAAAGAATTTAGTAACATTTCAAATATCGAGTGCGACACCGGTACCCTCATAGACCTATTGTGTTGCGTGATGGTGAGAATTCATTCTAGATGAAAGGCCTCACTCTAAACTTCATTTCAAAACTGTGGATTGGGGCATCAGTTTCTCCATATCAATACCATAGCAAGAGAGAAAAAAGTATGGAGAGTAAGTGTGGCAGCTATAGGGTGTGGAGGATCAAAGGAATCTCGAAGTCCAATTTTTTCTTATTTCTAATTAATTCGTTTAAAGTGAATATCGTTTATCCGACGCTGGAAGGTTTACAGATCACCTAAAGGGGCCTTAAGTAAGGCTGTGCTGGAATTTTTCGAATTTGAATTCGCATCTGAATAGATAGAACAGTATTATAGAGAATTACAAGAAATCTTACTTTAGACACCCAAAGAAATGAACAATGTACTGGGAATTACACCAACAGCCTCCAACTGATTCTATTGTTTTACGGTTGAAGTGAAAGTATCGAGATTTGGGTATTGAAAGAATAATAGGTAAATTGAGAAGTGGGATCGTCACAATGTTCATGGGGGAACTCTAGATTTCAACTGAAGCACTATAGACCACTCCTGCATTACACAGTTATTTCATGTGTTTTCCAACCAAAAACGTTTTCATTTGTTTTTTTTTTTTGTTTATCTTATAGCCCAGGAGGTATCATTGCTCACTTGGAATTTAAATTTAACAACTCTGTCGTTGAAAGTTATGTAAGTGAACTGCTGACACAGGTAGCGAACGATGGAAAACTTGGCAGTCTAGAAGTTGAAGAGGTGGTAGTTCGAAAAACTTTTCCAGGTCAGGTCTTTTCTGTTTGCTAATTCATGTTTTTTTCTTTTTTTTTTTTTTGTATTGTTACTGTTGTTGTTGTTATTGCTGTTGTGTTTGGTGTTTTTTTAAGTGATAAACTTATTTTAAACAAGCTTCTTTGAAAAATTTAAGTCAACAACTGAAGGCACGGTAGGGTGCATAGAAACTTTAGCTATAAGCTTGTAACAAAAATCCGAATTTCATCCGAATTTCGAAAAAATAGACTTAAAGGTTTTGGGATTATTCGTATCGAAAGAAATAAGTAAACTGGCCACCTAGAGATAAGTAAACTGACTACCTTTGGTCGTGTTAAATGCTACATTCAATTATTTGGCGGTTTTATGGTTACTTTTTGCTAGTAGACTTTAAATGCTATGGCAGAGCAGAGGCTGTTCAGATTGTTATCGTCACTGCAGTAATTATGAATAACTAGTGCATGGTTGCTTTTAATGATCTTAACGAATAGGATACGTGGGCTAAGCCCACACGAATAAGTATGCTCTGAAGCAATAAACTGCTGGCACAACGCTGAGTATTGACAATGGGCTAAAACAGGGATGAAAAACGTCTCCGCATGCGTAGCGTGTGCGTTGATGTCACTAGCACCCTTTCTGATCGTTTGGTCAACGAAATTTCGGTGAATGCATCTACCTACTTTCCTGATCAAGTATAATCTGTCAATGATTAATAACTGTGATTCACAAGATTGAGTTGTTGCGAACTTAGATTCTTTATCATTTGATTGCATTTTGTTCCCTTAATCAAAGTCTGCTTTAGTTAAAAGGAATCAAACTTCCGGTATTAAAGAACGAAAATGAAATATACCTACTGTGCATTACTGAATCGATCGGAATTTGCATAATCATGCAATGCAAAATAATTGTCTGTATTCTATGACAGGAACTTAGTGATATCTGCTGTTTTTCATTTTCGAACTTCTTAAAGAGCACATTCCGATCTTTCGTTCGTCAGGAGAGCAATAAACCTCACATAAGCATCATGTCAGCACTGTTTGTGACTATTGCTTGGACGTTAACAATAGCAGCTTTGTTTGGAAACATTTTCGTGATTTTGCTGATCTTCCTGAGAGGGAATCTTCGCTTAAGCAAACTCAACTGGTACATCACTTCTCTTGCTGTAGCGGATGCCTTGGTTGCTGTAAGTTTCTATCCTCCACTGTTTTTTTGTGATCGTTGGTTGTCCTGCCAAACAAGTATTTTAAGAGCTTTTCGCTGGATCTTCATTTATTCGTCAGTATGTAATCTCTGCGCCATGACGGTTGACCGTTACCTCGCCATCACGAAACCCTTGTACCACAGAGTCAAGACATCGGAAAGGACTGTGGCCATTTGGATCACGATCTCGTGGCTTTTTCCTATTAGTTTGCGTGGTATTGTCTTCACTCCCGTTTATTATCTACATAAGAGAGAAGCATTCAAGTACTTTCTTCCTGCGATGATTATAATATTTGAGGTTCTTCCTTGTTTACTCATTTTATTCGCTGCCGTACGAATTAGCATAATTGCTAAAAGGGAACAAACAAAACACAAAAACAGGTCGAAAGGAAAAGCCAAAATGGAGAATCAGCGAGAAGGACCAAGAGCTTTAAAGATGATATTGATGGTTGCGTTTCTCTTTGTATTTTGTTATGCCTTGGAAGTTTATTACACGATGTGCAAAAATGTTTTAAAACTCTGCGATGACACTGAAATACTTCAAATGATTCGTCGGCTCTTACTGATTGCGAACTCGGCAATGAATCCATTTGTGTACACTTTCCTTAGAAAAGATATAAAGGAAGAAGTAAAGAAACTGAAATTGTTTTGTAGAAAGGAAAAATCTGTAACTAGAAAGGAAACAGAAGTAGATTCTGTGACACTCTATCCAGAAAGTCTGGAAAGGGAAGCACGCTGAAATGTGAATTTTGTATAAGAGACCATTTAATACATTTCGTGGAACGCGTTGACTGGGAGATCTCGAAAGTGGTCTATCAACAGCGAAAAGAAACTAAAATTAGTCTACACTTCGTAACAGTCAGTACTCATCCCTCCCCC